CCCAGTGCTGTCCCACTGTATCCATTCAGGCCTGGCTGAATACAAATACACCCCTAACCGACGCCCAGTGCTGTCCCACTGTATCCATTCAGGCCTGGCTGAATACAAATACACCTCTAACCGACATCCAGTGCTGTACCAGTTCTCTGACGCTCCATAATCAGCTCATTGAGGCTGACTGTCACCAACTGGGCCTGACAGCATCTCTCTTTTGACACGTCTTCACACCCATCTAACTCTGCTCCTCTACCATCTTCTCTCTGTCCAGCCCTGCACCCTCTACACGAGCCCTACAATTCTGTCCCATTCCACCACCAAGCCATCGAACCACTCTTGAATTTTCCTGTATCAGCAAAAATTTGATGACCATTTTCCACAAGTAGTTCAACGATAACATCAAGAAAGTCAATGGTCTGTCACAATTACTTCACCTCCTGAGGTCGATTATCATATATACTCAATGCTAGGTATTCCAGTCTGTAAGTCATTATGAGGAGCTCTGCTGGAAAGAGTGAGGTGTACCATTTAAAGCTGGAACATTCTACCTGCACACAGTGGTAGAGATGAGAGTCCAGCCAGAAGAAGCAAATAACTAAATAACATCCATCCAGCTTCTAAATCGGTGTTTCTCAATCTGGTCCTCAGCGACCCATGGACAGTCCAAGTTTTTGCAAAAATGTGGCAGGGAGCCCGGATGAAGCAAACACTGTTCGAAATCTAATTATCCAGTACAGGATCACAACCAGAATGAAAGCCTATGTAAGGACCAATAGGGTACATCGCAGGAGACGCATAGGATGGAATTCCAGTTCATCACCAAGCAGGGCAGCTGGGGGTTAAGGGCCTTGCTCAAGGGCCCATGGACATGTGACCTTTCTGCTGAGGCTGGGCTTGAACCAGCGACCTTCTGATCTGAGTCTGCTGAGCCACATGCTGCCCCCATGTTAACCACACACGGATTGTTGGAGAACGCTGAAGCTCCTGCAGGAATCCCATGGAAAGTCCCCACAGATCCAGGACAGGAATCGAACCCTCAACCGCAGTGCTTTCAAGCTACACTGCCACCCAGCTTCAAACCACCAGTGTAACGATGCTTCAGAGCACCCAATGTGCAGTGTCAAATGAGTCACAGAAAAGGCACTTTCTAAAGCAAAGGGAGTTCTTTGCAAAGCGAGTGAAAACACAGCTCGCTAATGAGTCCTTGGTTCGACATTTGTTATGATTTGTTGTGAATCCTCATTTAATTACAGTCTGGTTATTCAGACAGGGGTTGGCAGGGCAAGCAGGCAACGACTTATTTAGACAGCCGAAATTTCAGCGAGTAAATGAGTCCCGGAGATGGGCGTGCACCCTTGGAGCGTCTCACGGGAATGAGCTACTCTGAAAGCATCTTCATGCGACGCCGCACGGCGCTTATCAAGCCCCGGGCAGGAACAGTCCAAACAAATACACAGAATAATACATAAATGTACCAGGGACTGGACTGGACATCTTCTGCAAGAATTCACAAGGGGACGGCTTTTTTCTTGGGGTGTAGTGAGAATGCAGTTATGCTGTGAACCACAGCAGCAGAGACCTTAGTTATGGGCATGTTTACCAGGAAGGAGGGCTGTTTACCGCGTGTGTGCATAAGGGCACGTGTTTGGGTCGTGAGGCTGGAAGGAGAAGCAGTTCTTCAGCACAATCAGCATCTGAATCACCGCTGTGATGCATGTGAATGATGACTGGCACTGTGGTTGCAGCCTTTTTGCCAAACCCAATAAGGACTTCAGTGTGGCCTATCAGATCCCTACAGTTCACTTAGGAATGATTCCACTGATATCGTCAGTCAAGGTTAAGTGAAAAAAAAACCCATTAAAAGCCAATTGCATTACAGTGCAGGTAATAATACATTTTATGTGAAACTTACAAGGACATGATAAATGACCACTAGAATATTTTTTCAGAATAAACAACCGACCCATTTTTTTTTTTTTGCAGTATGGACACACATGTCAGCCATCCAGTTGTTCCAGATCCAGGCCCGGGGG